TATAACAAAATAATTTTTAATTTTTAATTTTAACAATTTAAATCCTAAATATTTGATTTGTTTTTAATCTAAACATTTACCTATATTATTTACCTAAAATTGATGAAAAAACGAGTATTTTTGTTATTAAACTCAACAAGAAGAATATTTAAACATTTTATGTATAATTATATTGAGTTTAATAACCAAATTATTATTTTTTCGTTGATTTTACTTAACAAAAATAAACTAATAATTTAAATTAAAAACAAATCAAGAGATGATTTCTGATAAAATTAAAAATTTATTTTGTTTCAAAACTAAAACCTTCAATTTTTTTTTTTTTAGTTATCCCAAAAAATTAATTCTGAAAACAATTTCTGAAAATTAAACAAAACATTTAGGTCTGAATCTTCCCTCAACTGTCTGTTAGAAAAAGGGAAAACAAAAAAAAGAAAAGGAGAAATCTTCTCTGAAGTGTGCAAGAAGCTGAGGAGAGAAAAAGAAGAAAACAGTGTCGGATCACAGTGTCGGATTACATACCTGACGAAGTCTTGATGGAGATCCTTGCTTGCAACACTACCAGTGAAGTCTCTGCTTCGATTCAGGTCAGTCTCCAAATCTTGGTATTACTTAATTACCAACCCAAGCTTCATCACCACACACCTCAATCGGACTAAATTAAACCACACTCACAAACTAGGACGAATTGTTCAAGATTGTTGGTTCATGTGATGGGTTGTTCGTTCAAGATTGTTGGTATTACTTAATTACCAACCCAAGTTTCATCACCACAATCTTCGCCATTTGGTCATCAATTACGAATCTCAGAATCAAGAGCACTACATTTCATGTTTTGATGACGAAACCTTTGGCGATGATAAGTATATGGAGCTTCTTCAATCCCCATTTCACGACTTTCTAAAATCATTGGACATTGTGGGTTCATGCAATGGCTTGTTGTGCTAAATGGAATCTTTTTTTTATTTTATTTGTATGCCAAATCAATTTGGTTCTATGGAACACATCAATTAGGCAAATCTTCACACTTTCTCTGACTCCATTTTCTACTGTTGGATTGAATGTACTGCTATTGGATTGAACGTTGTACCGCTTTCTTCTGATGTATGTGTGTATAAGGATAGTATATGTTGATTGGAAAACAGGATGAAGGATTAAATCATATGCATATATGTTTGTCATTCTCTACTGCTGTGCCATTATTTTCTACTAACGTGTGTTTTGTAATCCTGGATAATTCTACTGTTTGGAAAATAACTTGGGTGATTTATAGTGACTCAGTAAATTTGATGAAGGTCAAAGATTACGAAGCGTACAATCATAATTTCAAAACATGTTTCTACAAATATATACCCAAAATGTTCAAACTACACAACCTTGAAGCCATATGAAAACTAATCATTGCTCAAAGAAACTGCATGACATGCTAACATGCACAAAACTTGTCTTCGTTCAACAACCTTTCAATTTCATAATAACCCCTATAGAAAACATACAAGGAAATATTGTCTTAACAAGTAGTTCAGAAACAAACTAAACCCCAAGGGTTGGCCTGGTGGCAAGGCCATGTGTGTTGGGAGTGTGCTCCCTCCAAAGTTTAGGCATCAAAACCTCTTAGGTGCTAATAATTCCTTGGGGTCATCGGATTGGAGAAAATCCTTGAATTAACTGTGGTGCACTTGCGGGGAACTTATTGCCGAGGGCTTGTGCATCCTTGGGGATTAGTCGGGCTTTGATCCGAACACCCCGGTGCCAATAAAAAACAAAAAATAAAAAAAAAGTTAGTCAAGAAACAAACTAACAGATCTATTCATTTAACTACACGGAAAGGATAAGGAGAAAGTGGCCTCACTCTTGATTTATAAGACAGAGACGTAATCAAATATAGGAAAATATATAATATATATTGATAGATAGGAAACCAAATATTAATAAAATCTTTAATATAACTTAATACTTTTTTTGTTTTGGAATAAATAAAAGCAGCTTTATTAGGAAAGCATCATAACCTAATACCATATTGATTCCTAAAATCCTAGGTTCCAAAATAAATTTGATTCCTTCCTCATCCAACTCCTTTCTTACCCGCATCAACTCCTCTGTCCTCATTGATATAACAAAGGTGAGGGAGATAGGGGAATGCAATGACAATAAAATAAACACAGAGAAAATAAAGTGGACGTTTTTTGATAGATTTTGTTAGGGATGATGGAGACAGACTTAGGGTCTTGTTAGGGTTTAAGTTAGTCCAAAGAATACCTACAGTCATTCGATGAAGAAAAATTAATAACAATGTCTTTGCAAGTTACATGACTTGTTGGATTTTTTTTTTCTTTTTTGTTTGCAAAACTACCTTTACGTGCATTATTCGGGTAATGTTTTGTTTGTCTTTTCCATAAATACAAGCTAGTCACATTACTTAATCTAAAATAGATCACAAAAGCATTGTATATACAGTTCAATAATGCTAAAAACTTACCTAGCAATATAAAACTTATTGTGATATATTGCCTAATCGACTTCAGTTTCCTCATCCCCTCCTTTTCTTCATTCTCTATTTATGTAGTTTCTTTGCAAAAGTCTTTATGAACCATTCTTATTACCTTGTGGTCAATGTGTGCCCAATAAATAACCGTCCCGATCACTATTCCACTCACATATCCCATGCATATGACAATCCAATCAACTATACTTTTGAACGCTGAATCATTATCTTGTTTTGCGTTCAATGGTGGTGATGATGGTAGCGCCTCTGACATTTCACATTTCCTTGACAAAGGATCTCTGCACAATCCTGGATTCCACTCAAAGGAATGGTTTGCAAATGTTAATTGCTTCGGTTGTGGAATAAGTCCAGTGAGATGGTTATTTGAAACATTTAAGAAAGTAAGGAAAGTAAGAAGTGCTAGTCGTTAAGGGATTTCTACTGAGAGCTTGTTTTGAGAAAGGTCCAAAGATTCAAGGTTTGTTAGGTTCCCCAAGCATGTTGGGATTTGACCACTTATATCATTGTTCGAAAGGTTGAATAGCTGGAGCCCCTTAAGGTTTTTAATAGATTCTGGAATCTCCCCTTTAAATTTGTTGCTTGACAGATCAATGGTAGTGAAGATATCCAAGATCTCATTGTACATTGTATTTACACCTTTGTTTGTAATGGTCATTTAGTAGAAATAGCTTTCTGCTAACACATGATCTTCCCTTATGGTAGCCTTCATATATATCATCTGGTCCTCATCAAAAAATTTCATTGCATTCCAATTTTAAAATATTTTGTTGGCAATTCCCCTATAAAACCATTATGAGAGAGGTCAATGATGCGCAAATTTAGTAACACTAACTTAGTTTTAGGACTCTCTACTGCACCATAGAATTTATTGGAACGCAGGATGAGAATCTACGACCCCGTTTGGTTTGGATTTCCGAATGGGTTTTTGAGAGCCCAAAATTGAAAGCTCATTTGTTTATCTCTATTTCCCAAACTATTTTAAATTTATCTCTATTCCCAAAACTATTTCAAATCTATTCCAAAATTATCATTATTCCCAAGACTATTTCAAATCAAATTTATCTCTATTACCAAAATTATTTCAAATCTATTCCAAATTTATCTCTATTCCCAAGACTATTTGAAATCAAATTTATTTCTATTACCAAAGCTACATTAATTGAATCGATATATATGTTGAAGTATGCGGTACATCATATTTTCAAGTTGATCAACTTTATTTCTACGTTTTAAGTGTATTTAGATTGAGCAGATCTAAAAAATGAAAAAAAAATAAAATAAAATTGTATATTTGTTTTGGTATGTTTGTTAGCATTTAATGATTTTTTAAAAGATTTTTTTCATAAAATTTTATACATTTTTAGTGTGTTTAGATTGAGTAGATCTAAAAATTCAAAATCATTGATGAAAATATGTGTGTTTAGATTGAGTAGATCTAAAAATTCAAAATCATTGATGAAAATATTTAAAAAGTTCACATAAACAATGAAAGACAGATTGAAATTTAAAAGTTATTTTTGAAAACTCTATAACCAAATAGAGTTTTAACAATTACTTCAGAATCACTAAACCAAATGAGTTTTGGATTTTCAATTTTCTAAAAATATATTCAGAATGTAAAACTAAACAAATTTTCAAAATTTGAAAACTCTTTTCACAAAATTATCTTTCAAAATTGATTCTGAAAGCCAAACCAAACGGACCCTCTGTAAGAGTTCCCAACCAAAAGGGGAATGCAACTTCAATAAAATTATTTTGAGATATCAAGAATTTTAATCTTGGCACTTTCCCTTGAAATTGACTACTACTAAAGTCAATCATCTTAAATTTGTTTTCTTTATTGTATGAGTGAGGAATGGGACAATAAAAGTTGTTTCCTCTTAGGCTATGTTTAGTTCATGGTAATGAAGGTTGGAATGGAATATGATCATTCCATTGGAATAACCATTCCGTTGTTTGGTTACCTTAAAAAATATGGAATAGGCATTCCAAATGGAATAACCATCCACTAATAGGACTGAATGAGTATTTTGTTTCAAACATTATGGAATAGCTATTTCACTCCTTTATCTTTTCTTTATCGGGATAGAAATTGCCCTCCTTTAATTTCAACAAGATTCGCGATTTAGGCTTTGATACAATGCTTGGTATCTCTCTCTCTCTCTCTCTGTGTTTCTCTCTCAATCTTTATATCTCTCTGTCTCATTGCTAGCAATCGATCCTTTGTGTTCTAATCTGTACGAAAGTTGAATCTAGGGTTTCGATTTTGATCTGTTATGTTGGTACAAGAAGTTAAGATCGAGGATTTGGGTTTTAACCCAAGAGATATTGTGTAGTTTTAGGGTTTTGGTTTTATATTCTTTATAGGTTTTGGGTTTTATGTTCTAGTTTGTGGTTGAAATTTACATCCCTTCATAGGTCTTTGTCTAGTCTCAATTGTCTTTTTCCCCAAATGCCAAAGAAGTTTAGAAGCAACAAAAGAAAAATGTCGACAATGACGAAGAAATCAATTTTGAACGCTTGCATACTTGAGGAAGTCTTGATCGAAATCCTTGCAAGACTACTTGTGAAGTCTTTACTTCAATTCAGGTCAATCTGCAAATCTTGGTACTCCTTAATCACCAACCCAAGTTTCATCACCACACACCTCAATCGAACTAAATCAAACCACGCTAACAAACTACTCATCAAGTTCAAATCTGAGAATCGAGATCGCTGCTTGTCATTTACCGATGACAAGACATTTGGCGATGAGTTTGTGAATTTTGAATACCCATTTCAAAACTACAACGAATTTTTCAAGATTGTTGGTGCATGTGACAGGTTGTTGTGCTTATCGGATTATTATGGCTTAGACTATGCTGTTCTATGGAACCCATCAATTAGGAGATTCGTGACACTTCTTGAATTTGGTTCTTCTGTAATCGAGGATTGTTGCTTGCTTTGGTTTGATTTTGGATTTGGATTCAACAGCATGAGTAATGACTATAACGTGAAATTGCATGTGCCTTTGATGATCATCGCTTCTATGTTGTGCATAGGGTGGAGCTTTTTGTGCTTAGCACATGTTCTTGGAGATCCATTTGTATTGGTGATTTATGTTATGAACTTCTTGGTTTTGATTCCTTGCCCGCATTTGTGAATGGGGCTGCTCATTGGGTTGCATTTAATCTAAGAAAGGATTGTGTTTGTATTTTGGCATTTGATATAGTTGACGAGGTGTTTAGGGAGATATCTTTGCCAAACCATCAAATTGATGTGAATGTTCGTACAAACACGTATATTACAGTATTGAGAGAGTCACTTGCTGTAATCATCTATGAAGATGATTTTGCTTCTATGAAAATGATTAGGACTAACCATGTATGGGTAATGGAAGAATATGGTGTCATAGAGTCATGGACTAAACGATGCAGAATCATTGGGAAGCAGTTATTGTTGACGATAGTGGGTTCTAGGAAGAATGGCGATGTCTTAAGGGTTCAAGATGTGCAAACGGGGCTGAGGGAGTTGGTTCAAGTAATACACAAAGCCGCCAGATTAAGCATCTGGGGCTCCATGGCGACTCATTTTATGTTAATACTTATTTGGAGAGTTTAGTTGCACTAGATGTAGCTGACGGAGTGTGGAAATCACATGCGCGTCCCAATTTCTCTTGACGGGGTTGCCAACAAGGAAGCATTGGGGTGAAAGAAGAGAAAGGCAAGATGATTATCCCCCACTTGTAGTGGTTTAATTGTTACAGTTTGTAGTACTTAATTGTTATAGTTTGTCATTTTGTTGTTCTTAGATGCTTTGTGTTGGATTTTTGAGCTGCATATGAACATCAACCTTGCATCAATATTATTTTTCCTGAATGCACTGTTGTTCTCATATTCAAGTCGGGATATCAATTTAATAGTTTGGGTCATATTGTTGTCATAAGTATCTGTGTATGTAATAAAGTCAAGTGGGGAATTCATATTCAGATCCATGCACCTTGACATTTAGTATAGATCGATATCCTTTTCACATATTGTCTATAATTCTAAGTGTTGAAATGTATTGCTTTTTTCTCACATATGTGTGTATTGAATGGTATATGTTGATTGGGAAGACATACTAACTTGTTGATTGTCATACTCTCGTGGAGAGTCTCTGGTTGGAAAACAGAGGAAATGATGAAACTGTATGGAAATTGTCTATTTGATGCTAATACTAAAGATATATTCGTTTTTATGCCATTATTCCTCACTAAATTCTCCCTTGGATAATTTACTTTAAGAAGAGGATATAACTTGGGTGGTTTAGTGACTTAGGTACTTTGTGAAGATCATATAATTTGCTTTGATTTTGAATAATATTTGTACAAATATAATGAAGTCCTGAAATGAATTTCGGTAGCTAAAATCTATTGTATTCCTAACTATGATCTGCTACCTTACTTAGCAACATGTTCTTAATAATTTTCCTTGATCTTTCATATTATGTTATTTGACCAAGTGAAAATGTAGCCCTATTCCCCATCTCTATAAACTTAGATTGACAGAGGAATTGATTAAAAGTTTTGGTTTTGAGTCTTTGTCTATCTCTGTCACCTTCTTTCTCTGTCGCAAAGGAGATGTCATTCAAATCACCCATGCGTAGCCATGGTTTGTTCAAATTTCTAGAGCCGTTAGCTATAAGAGAGCAAAGATTTCTTCGTTCACCAAATTATGGGCAAACTTAAATAAATGAGAGCCTCCACTTTCCCAAAAGGTTATGAAAAGAGCATTGGCCATCCAAAAAGAAAAAAAGATGGGAACATTCAGTAAAGTGAAAATTGTTCGAAAAAACTAACTCCAGCAAGACCGATAGACTCCAAAAGTGAAAAACTCAAATTAACTACTCTGATTTCTTCAACTTTATTTTCTCTAGCTTTTGTTTCAAGAAGGCAAATTGGTGAGGATCTAAACTGGACATCCCTGACCTTTAATGGTTGGATTGTCAAGGTATCCCCAACCCCTGACAATTCCTATAAAAATATACTTATTTGAGCCCTTGGGGCTGTTGAGGGACAACCTTATGAACCCGTTTATTGATTAATTCCTAACCCGAATTCTGTTCTATAAGTTGCCACTCTGTGCTAACTCAAAGTTAGACCTCTACCAGATCGTCTTCTTATGTCTTGGGTTCATCCTTAGTAGTTTCATTTCTCTTTTTGATGAGAACATGCTTGCGATTTGTTTTGAGGCTTGTATGTCTAACTACCAAATCGGTGTTTTCTTTCTCCTTCTTCAAGTTGTTCTTAGTTTGAAAAAATAGGGAAGTCTTCTTCCCAAAATGCTATCTGAGAGAAAAGCCAAAGATTCACCACGTTGCATTCCCAATTTGTGACACATATAGCTATCACCACCTTCCTCTGTTAGAAATTACGCCACCTTGGGTTGTGTGTTGTGAGCATCTTGTTTAATTTTTACTACTTGTTGCTCAATTTGGCACATTATTTAGCACATTTTGCTGCAATTTCCTACATTGTTACTTGCCTTGCCTGCGATTGCTGCCCGAGGTAAGGGCTTCCTGTGAGAATACATTGTGAATCTTACATTGTGAATCTTACTTGATTGTGGTTGTATATGTTAGAGTCCTAGTCCTATTAGATGAGTGATTGTATTAGAGTCCTTTTTTATTTAGGAGTTAGGGCTATATAATCTAAGGTCTGGTTGTAATCAAATATACAATTGAATATACAGAGATACAGAAATCTTACATGGTATCAGAGCTTGGTTTCGAAATCCTAGCAGCCATTGTTGAAGCTTTTCTGTTTCGTTGAACTCTCTGGTTCAACCTTGTGGATATGCGTGACCCATCCTATTCGAGATTGGGTTCGGTCCATCTAGTCTGTCCGGTCTCTGTTCAAGTCGATCGTGGTTGATTGCGATCCTGATCTCTCTTTCGAGTCAACCCATCTGGTTCATCCGAGGTCTCTCCGTTTCTTCTTCAGATTCGTTGTCTTGCCATCACGATCCTAGTTGATAGTGATCGTTCCTTTTGGTATGATGGTCGTCCGAGATTGGGTTCGGATCATCTTACTCTTTGGTTGATCGTGGTTGATCGTGATCGTGGTTCATCTGGTTCGCCTCCTTACAAACGCTGGTCCAGATACGTCTCTTGGACCACTCTGGTTAATTTCTCTATTTGACCCCTCTCTTTACAGTCGCTGGTCTAGTCTATGTTTGACCACTCTGGTTAATTTGTTTTATAAAAACCTTGCTTTTTTACAATGTCGGAAGATAAAATTCAAACTATTAAATGTAAACTTACAAGTGACAACTATGCTTATTGGTCTAGTGTTATGAGAAATTTTCTTCTCGGTCGAAAAAAATGGAGATATGTTTCTGGTTCTATTCCTCGTCCATCAGATCCCAAACAAGAAGAATATCTGCTTTCATGTGATACTTGGGATTGTGATAATGCTCAAGTTTTGACCTGGTTCCATAACTCTGTGGATGATCATATTGGGATGATGTTCTCTAAATATAGCACCGCTAAAGAGGTATGGGATTACTTGCAAAGTGTTTATCAGCAGTCGAACTTTGCCAAACGGTATGAGTTGAAAACAACTATTTAGGGAGCTCGTCAACAGGATCTGTCTATTCAAGATTTCTACATTAAGATGACAGGCCTCTGGGATCAGTTGGCTCTTATGGAACCATCTAGCCTCAAGACACTAAACGCTTATGTTGAGTTTCGAGAGCAAGGTCGTTTAGTGCAGTTCTTAACGGCTCTCTCCCCTCAGTATGAGGCTATTCGTGGTGGCATTCTTCACCGGTCTCCTCTCCCCTCTGTGAATGCTATTGTTCGCGAGCTCCTCTCCAAGGAAACTCGTCTTAAGACGGCCAGTCAGACTCTGTCTCCATCTGTTTTCTTGGCTCCTACTTCCTTTGTTGGATTGGTATTTTTTATTTTGAAAGCCATAAAATCGACCAGGATTTGAATTTACCCTATCCCTCAAGACAATCACCTCTCTTGTTAAATTTACAATTGAGCTCCTCATGGTCAATTATGCTGCACAGATAGCAAGAATCCGATAATCTTGCCGTAGGTCGTCAAGGGTTTTTCTAGCAAATGAGAGTCCTTTGGGTAGGGTTCATTTAAATTTATCATCAGTCTGACTTTGTGAGAGAGTTTCCATGAATAAAACCTTCATGAGAATCATATTTGACCTGTGCAACCTCTCTAATGGGTTGTCCAATCTTCACACTGTTTCAAGTTGTCAGATTACCTATCGGCAAATTATGTATTTATACCAAAAAATGGGGCTATAGAGAAGTCCATCTCTACCACGGTCAAGTCCTTCCACTTTCGAAGCACCATGAGGTAACACCCACAACTGATCAAGGCACTTGTTTCATAATTCTCCGACCATCCTCCTCTTTGTTGAAAGAGAATGCATACATATTTTCACCCCCAAGTCGCGATATAGAATTCAGCTTCTGTACTCCAGAGTCCTCTTGATAAACCGTCTTGAACTCCAAATCTGCAAAGATTCTTGTCTGCAACAATCTTTCCAATAAGATGAGATTTTTTTTCTCTAGTAGGAGGTGTGGAACTTAAATCATCTAAAGATAAGGACGGAGGTGTGTGGTGTTTGTTAGCCATGGATCTGAATAAAGAAAAGATAATAAGGTAGCAGAATCGGAGCAACAATGCACATAAAAGGAAGAGAGATGCTCTGGAAGAAGGTGACGAATAGTAAGTAGTTCAGTTTTTTGCATATGGGCTGGGGATATCCGAGTTAATAGAAGCAGGGGTATAGGAAGTGATCTGGGCTAGTTAATGGAGGGTTGGGATTCATGATAAAAGGAAATAGAAGAACAAAATGTGTGATTTACCTAATGATGATGGAGGGAAACTAAGGAAATATGTGCCACTCTAGGTTTGGCCCGGTCTGGGTATTGAGATTAATTTGGCCATCCCAAATCCAATCCTAAAAAACACACAAACCCCAGACCTGCCTATTCACCATTATATATGGCTGTAAAGTGAATTTGGACCTATGAACAAATCCCTCTATTACTGAATAATTTGTAACATGACAATCATTATCCAAGTCACATTCCTCAAAGCTTTGTTTTAATTATACAATATAATATCTATCAAGAAAAAGAAAAAACACAACTTAATGATTGGCAGATTCTTAGTATTCCAAAAAAAAAAAAAAAACAAAAGAAAAAGAAAAAAAAAATCACACATTAATTATTCAGGGTTGGAACTTCAAACTACAATTACTATTACTACTTAAGACGTCACATTATCCAAAAGTTCAAATTCAAATTACATGATAGCATACATGTTGCATCAGCCCATCCAACATTGTTTGTTGTCTTTGTGAAACGAAATACGTAGAGTAGTAATGCCATCAAGTTAGGGATTCTCTATACCCAAAATCTTAGATTCCCTATACTTAATAAACAATCAACTGTATGATGTGCCAAGAATCTCAAAGGGGGTTGTGTGTGTGTGTGAATAATGATAGCATACATGTTGCATCAGCCCATCCAACATTGTTTGTTGTCTTTGTGAAACGAAATACGTAGAGTAGTAATGCCATCAAGTTAGGGATTCTCTATACCCAAAATCTTAGATTCCCTATACTTAATAAACAATCAACTGTATGATGTGCCAAGAATCTCAAAATACAGAAAATACAAGATGCGATCATGCGATTGGAGAGCTTTTGGATTCATGGGAATAGGAGTTTTGGGTAAGAAGATATGTGCCATTCCATAAATACAAGCTAGAGTTACACGACTTCATCTAACACTAGATCACAAAAGCATTATGCGTAAACAATGCAATAAATCTAAAAATGTACACAGAAGTATAAAACTTATTGTGAAACAGTACCTGATCAACTTCGGTTTCCATGTCCCCTCCTTTTTAGTCTTCTTGGTTTGTGTTGCTTGCTTCCGAAAGTCTCGATGAACCATTCGTGATACCTTGTGGTTATTGTGTGCCCAATAACCATCCTGACCACTATCCCACTAACATATCCCATGCATATGCAATCCAATCAACTGTACTTGAGAACGTTGAATCATTATCTTGTTCTGAGTTCAATGGTGGTGATGGTGGTTGTGCCTTTGACTTTCCACATTTCCGCACAATCCTAAATTCCCCTCGTAGGAATTGTTCTCGAATGTGTTGAATTGCTTCCCGTTTGGAATGGGTCCAATGAGATGGTTATTTGAGAGATTTAAAAATTCAAGGAAAGTGAGAAGTGCTAATTGCTGAGGAATCTTCCCTGAGAGCTTATTTTGAGAAAGGTTCAATGATTCAAGGTTTATTAGGTTCCCTAAGCATGATGGGATTCCCTCACTAAGGTCATTGTTGGAAAGGTTGAGCAGCTGGAGCCCCTTGAGCCCCTTGACGTTTCCGATAGATTTGGAATCTTCCCTTTGAATTTGTTGCTTGAGAAGTCAATGGCAATGAAGATATTCAAGATCTTCTCATACTCTGCATTTACCCCTTATTTGTAATAAGCATTGTGTAGTAATAGCTGTCTTGGCTCAATATGTTGTTCTGTGCTGGGAAATTTGTGAGTGCATGCTTATATGTCATATTGTCCATGTCAAAAAAATTCATTGTGTTCCAATTTTGAAAGTAATTTACTGGAAGGTCAACTGTAAAATCATTATGAGAGAGGTCAATGATGCGCAAATTTGGTAACACCAACTTAGTTTCAAAACTTCCTATTGCACCATAGAATTTGTTGGATCGCAAGATGAGAGCTTGCAACTTTGTAAGAACTACCAACCAAAAGGGAAAAGTATCTTCAAAAAGATTATTCGAGAGATCAAGAATCTCAAGCACAGTACAACTAGCCAATGATCTTGGCACCTTCCCTTGTAATTGATTACCACTGAAGTCAACCACCTTCAATGTGTTTCCTTTATTGTACAAGTGAGGAATAGGACCATGAAAGTTGTTGCCTTTGAGATTCAGAATTGATAGAGAATCACTGAAGTTGCTCAAACATGGAGGAATAGTTCCAGCCAAGTTGTTATTAGACAAATCAAGTGTGTAAAGAAAACTCAATCGACAAAACAATGGTGGAATTTTTCCTGTCAATTTGTTGTAGTAGACACTGCAAGATTGGGTGGATAATGGTGGAATTGGCAATGGTCCTTGCAACCTGTTATAGCTAAGGCTTATTATGGCTAAATTAACCCACAGAAGCATATCTGGATGTTGCTCAAAGCCTGTTAGAAAATTTTCCTTAAGGTTTAAAAGCCCCAGAGTTTCTTTACTTGTGTTCAAAAACCATGATGGAATTTGGCCATGGATATTGTTTTCCTGAAGATACAGAACCTTCAGTTCGTGTTGGAAGCGTATAAAATCTGGGAACTCCCTCAAGTTGCATGAACCTAGTAATAACATTTGAAACTTTGGAAGAGTGGAATTGGTACTTTTTGGTCAGCAATTTTAATTTGTTACTGGACAAATTGAGCTCAGTAAGAATTTTTAACTTAAAAAAAATTTCAAGCGCTGAGTCGCTGAGATTATTGTAAGAAAGATAAGCGGCTTCAAGATTCTTTAGCTCAGAGAATGAGCTTGGGATTGGGCCTTGCAATAGATTGTACGAAAGGAACAGATCGGTTAATTGTGTTAGGTTACCAAGTGAATCTGGAATGGACCCTGAGAAATAGCATTCAGTGAAATCTAACGTCTTCAAGAAATTAAGATTTCCAATTGAGTCCGGTAGCTTGCCAGAGAAACTGGTGACAGCAAGTTTTAGATCCTGAAGGGGGCTGCTTTGGTGAAATTTGGGCAAATGGCCAGTGAGATTTTCATTATAACACACACTGAGAAATTGAAGCTTTGGTAGGTGGAATATGCTTACTGGGAATTCCCCACGCAGCCCACAATCTTTTAGAACGAGAGTTGTCAAGGAAGGTAAGTTGGCCAATGTATGAGGTACTTCAGAAGATATGATCACCTTACTGAGATGAAGCTCTTTGAGGTTAGTCAACTTTTGAAGTAAGCTTCTCAGACCATACTTTTCAAGTTTCAATAGTCTTGCTTTTGATGAGTGAATACTGTAAGGAAAACTAACATCCTAAAGAGGATCAACATTGTGAGAAAGATCAAGCAAAACTAATTTTGACAATTTTGAGATCTCTGGAGGGATTTGACCTGAAAATAGAGATAGGGAAAGGTTGAGACTCGTTAACCTTGAGAGCTGGCAAATTTCTGATGGGATATGAGAGTAATTGAAGTCATTATTGGCAAGGTTAAGTCTCTGAAGGTGAACTGCGCTGAAGAGGCTGCTCCTTGAATTAAGAAAACCATAGAGGAAACTGCTGCTCAGGCCAAGGCCAATCACATGACCGGTGTCCCGATCACACTCGACACCATCCCATGAGCAGCAATTGCTAGTTTCTCCTTCGAGCTTCCATGATGCAACCTTGGGATAAGCAGAAGGACGACCAGAAGCAGATCCAATCCAATCCTAAAAACATTCAAACCCCAGACCCGCCCATTATGCCATTATATATGGCTTTGAAGTGAATTTGGACTGATACGTTAATATTTTATAAACTTTACACCGATGTATTTTCTCTTAGTATTATCAGTTCAAATCCCAATCCTATTCTACAATGTAAACTAGGGGGTGGAAAAAATGGTGATGTGAGGTGCATATTATCCCTATGAATGGAAGTAGATGGAGTATGGCATCTTTATCGATTTCATTTTTCACTAGCTTGACTTCCACTCACTTGTGCTTCACTAGCTTGACTTCACTCAATTGTACTGTGTGGGTTGAGAAAGATGGCTAGTGTGAATGCAATGTCAGGTACATAGGTCTTGTGATTATAAGTTATTGTAGTGTTCAATTATGAGCTATTGTGGTGGTGGAACTAATAAATAGTCAAATCAAAGTTGGTTATGTTCTGCTATGACGTTTGATTTTGTCCCAAAGTAGTGTTGTACATGATATGTTCTTTGATTATGACTAAGGTGATTTTTTTATTATAATGCATATTAGTTTTAGTACTTTGATCAATGACTGAAATTTATTATATATATATATATATATATATATTAATTTAATAGTTTAAGGTAAAGATGCATATAGTATGTATATTTTTTGGGGGTTAATAGTAGAACCTCGGGCTTGAATAGAGAACCTCAGGTTACAATTTGTGCTTAGGCGGGTCTGACCATCTCTCAACATAACTTAGACTGAACTTGGACAACCTTTCAACCTGCTCAAATTGCACTTCTAAATAGATCCTTAGCAGTTCCTTTTCTTTTCTTCTTCGTATGGATTTTGATAGTCTTAATTTGGAGTTGGAGACTTTTCAAGGATAGAAGTTTGTTGAAAACTTGGTAGCCCAACTTCATAATTTTGGGTGCTGGGTTGGAAGTCTTCCCAATTTGTTGATTTTAGAAAATTTGTGCTGCGTACTCGAAAGAGTCGGTTCGTAAAACGTGGCCCCGTATTGAGCCTAATTCGGCTATCCCAAATCCAACCCTAAACAAAATTCAAATCCCAGACCAGCCCACTGTACTAATATGTATGGGCTAATTTGGACCTTTGAACAAATCTTGCTATAGTCGAATTATTTGAAATATGACGAGCCTTATCTGAGTCACATTCTTCAAAGTTTTGTTTTAAGTACACAACATACAATATTTATTAGGGGGAAAAAAATTACACAACTTAAATGCCTAGCATATTCATAGTATTCCAAAAATATAATAGTAACAAAAAAAATAAAAAAAAACATAATTTCAAATTATTCAGGGTGGAAGTTCAAACTACTATTACTACCACTACTAAAAAAAGCCTAATAATCATCCATTTCATTATGACCATCCAAAAATATTTGTTAACAACAAAAACAACCATCTATTACATGATAATTATCCAAAAACATCAATAAAAACAATCACCCATTACATTATCATTATTCAAACGCATACTAAAAATTAATTAGGTAAAAATATAAAAATGTAAAAGATTTATTATTTTTATATAATTTTATGTTTGGTGGGTAGAAATAATTTTTAAAAATTCAAAATTAACTTTTTGACATTTATTTTTATCAAATTAGTTTATATTTTATCAAATTGATGAATTTGCCCTTGAAATGAAGCATTTTTTTTGTTTGCAAAGGAAACAATATCTTCAATTATTTTTATTTGGAACGAGATTCAAAACTAAGAGTCAAATATATCACAATTAAAATATTATGAATTAAAGTAACACAAGTCCCAAATTAAAGGAATCATTAATATAATTCGCCCCAAAAAATACATGATGGTTACTGGAATTTTTCTAATCCTACCTTATGTTCACATGATTCATATAGTAGTATTGCCATGAAGTTAGAGATTCTCTATATCCAAAATCTCATGATCCCTGTACTTAATGAACAATCAACCATATGATATGTCAAGAATCTCAAAATACAGAAAACTCAAGACACAATTATGTCAAGAATCTCAAAATACAGAAAACTCAAGACACAATTATGTCAAGAATCTCAAAATACAGAAAACTCAAGACACAATTATGTCAAGAATCTCAAAATACAGAAAACTCAAGACACAATTATGTCAAGAATCTCAAAATACAGAAAACTCAAGACACAATTATGTCAAGAATCTCAAAATACAGAAAACTCACGACACAATTATGTGATTGAGAGTGCTTTTAATACATGGGAATGGAAATTTTGGGTAAGACGATCTATGCCATTCTATAAGTAGAAGCTAGCTAGAGTACACACTTCATAAATATATCATGAAAGCATTATACATAAATAATTCAATAAATTTAGAAACGCGCCCCAAAGGAAATAACTTGTGAAACAATACATAATCAACTTCGATTTTCGTGTCCCTCCTTTTCTCCCTGCTCAGCTTGCGCTGTTTCCTTCCAAAATTCTCGATGAACCATTCATGGTACCTTGTGGTTATTTTGTGCCCAATAACCATCCCAACTACTATCCCACTCACATATCCCGCGCATATGAAAATCCATTCAACTTTACTTGGGAACGTTGAATCATTATCTTGTTCTAAGTTCAATGGTGGTGATGCCTCTAACTTTCCACATTTCCTTGATAAAGGGTCTCTGCACAATCCTGAATTCCCCTCGTACGAATTGTTCTCGAATGTGTTGAATTGTTTCCCATGTGGAATAGGTCCAGTGAGATGGTTATTTGAGACATTTAAAAATTCAAGGAAAGTGAGAAGTGCTAGTTGCTGAGGGATTTCTCCCTAGAGCTTATTTTGAGAAAGGTCCAAAGATTCAAGGTTTGTTAGGTTCCCGAAGCATGATGGGATTCCACCATTAAGGTTATTGTTGGAAAGGTTAAGCAGCTTAAGCCCCTTAAGGTTTCCAATAAATTCTGGAATCAACCCTTCAAATTTGTTGCTTGAGAGATCAATGACAGTGAAGATATTCAGGATCTCCTGATATTCTGTATTTACACCTTTGTTTGTAATGTTCATTGTGTACCAATAGCCATCACCCCAAATGTCATTGTTCGTGTGAACTTCAATGATTGTGTCCATATATTTCATCTTGTCGACATCAAAAAATTTCACTGCGTTCCAATTTTGAAAGTATTTTGATGGCAAATCGCCAGTAAAACCATTATGAGAGAGGTCAATGATGTGCAAATTTGGTAACTCTAACTTAATTTTGGGATTCCCTATAGCACCATAGAATTTGTTGGATCGCAAGATGAGAACCTGTAACTTCGTAAGATCTCCTAACCATAAGGGGAATGTATTGTCGATCAGATTATTTGAGAGATCAAGAATCTCAAGATCGGTACAACTTGCCAATGATCTTGGCACCTTCCCCTGTAATTTATTATCACTGAAGTCAATCATCTTCAATTTGTTTCCTCTATTGTATGAGTGAGGAATGGGACCCTGAAAGTTGTTGCCTTTGAGATTTAGAACTTTCAAAGAATCACTGAAGTTACTCAAACATGGAAGAATAGTTCCAGTCAAATTGTTATTAGACAAATCAAGAACATAAAGAGAACTCAATTGACAGATCAATGGTGGAAGTTCTCCTGTCAATCCGTTGTGTGAGACACTATAAGAGCAGGTGGATAATGGTGGAATTGGCAACGGTCCTTGTAGTCTGTTATAAGAAAGGTCTAACTTGAGTAAATTATCCCATGGAAGGATATCTGGATTTTTCTCAAAGCCTGCTAGAGAGTTATTCCGAAGATATATTTCTACACCTATATTCAACATCCTGTAGACACCCCATTTTTGACCGTCCTCAAGACTTGGACGTCACCGTTTGAACACTCGGTGATCATCTATGTTCGTGTTCGTCTTGAGTTCTCGGAGGTCTTGGCCACGCGCCTTGTCTCAAGACCGCTCGACTTGCCTGTTTTGTGTTTGGTTTTGCACCAAATACTTGTGTTTTGCTTTTGAGGGGCAGGGAATGGCCTGCTGGCCATCCCCACACCTCACCGGCCATGACTTGAGGCCACCGGCCATTGTTTTGTTGCCATCGGCCAAATGTTTGGTCAGTCGGCACTTATGTTAGGTGTATCGGCTCTTTGTGTGGTCGGCCGGCCATTTATTTGGCCGATAGGCTCTTTCTTTGGCCGATACCTCCTTTTTGCCTTTTTCAGGAATGGTGCATGCCACCTGTGCCAGCTGGAATGCACGGACAGCTGGCTTGCACGGACCCTCCTCCCCATGCACGAGTGTGGCTATTTTGCCCCTTTTGCACCTTTTTGGTCTAGCTTCTTGAGGAAGCTTGGACCTTTGTCTTAGCTTCCTCAAGAAGCTTGGACCTTTGAGTTAGCTTCCTTGAGAAGCTTGCCCCCCTTGACCCTTTTGTATTAGCTTCCCTTAGAAGCTTAGCACTTTGTCTTCCTCTATAAAAGGAAGCCTTCCCCCTCCTTTGAGGAGGTTGAGCAAAAATCAGATATATATGTGATATATACACCACTCTCTCTCTCTATATCTCCCTCTCTCTCTTCATTTGTGTGTGTTAGAGGGCCTAAAAGGGTGTTTTGTTCTTAGTTTTGCACTAAGACACCTAGTATTACACCATACTTCGATTTTGGAGGTGTTAAGAGTTTGTACTTGGAGTTTTGAGTTGGTCTTGATTAGAAAAAGGGGCTGGACTTGTTGTTCTTCAAGTGTTCTTCAAGGGTGAGTATATTTGCTTTATATTAACCATTCTTGCACTAGTTTTTAACCTATCTTGCACACTGATTCAAGCTTTGTGTATAACTAAAAAAAGTCTTGTATTTGCATCA